AGTAAATATCCATATCCATTCTTTCAACAAACAGTTCTTGAGCTCCTACTATTTAGGTACTCTTAGATGCTGGAAATACACTGGTAAACAAGGCAGGCAAAACTCTAATGGACTTAAGATAGGTCAGATTTCCCTATTATTACAAAATGTTTACTCTTACTCTTTATGTCATTTTGTTCCCTTGTCCCTAAAATGTCCTCCTCTTCAATTCTGGTAAATACATTCCTATCATATCCCTTGTGTCTTAGATCTCAAATTCCAATCCTTTCACAACAGGCGTTTTAAATAGAGATTAATAAATTTTTAGACACTCCATGGGGAGGCTTCAAGAATGTCAATAAAAACTCTGGAAGCTTTGTTATTTTTTTTCCTTTGGGAAAGAGTCACTGCAATCCAGCAGATTCTCAAAGGAGGGTGTGATTCTCAAAATGTTAGTGGCAAAAAGTGAAAATTCAGGTCAGAAGACTCAAATGGTTTCTTCGCCTTGCAGAAAAAAGATATATAAGTATATATATGTATATCACATTTGGTTAAAGGAGATGGGGTAAATTCTCTGAAAAAGTAACTAGCATAGAAGAAAGATTATTTTCAGAAAGAACTAGAAATGTATAAGGATTTCATTAAAGATAGGTTCCAAGAAAGATCAAGGAGCCAAAAGAGACACCAAAATCTGATGATCTTGATGTTGACTTTAAAGAAATGGAAGTAAAGAAGGAAAGTAGCTGATGTAAGGTAGATGGCATAATGAAACACATTTTAGGTATGTTGACTCAGGGTGGAGTAAAATATTTCTAAGAATATATTAAATAAAACATTGGAAACATTAAACTTAAATCCTTAAGAGAATTTACCATTCAAGCTCTAGACTAAATAAGCAATTTCTTAGTGACATGAAAATGTTGAAGTAAATTAAGTTTTAAAGGAAAAAAAGCTATTAAGAAAACAGAAATGAAGACAGAAAGTCAAGGAGGAGTAAAGGAGACCAAGGGTGGCAAGAGTGCTATGAAATGCCCCAACTTATTTCAAGAACAAAAGGTTTATTTGATTAGGAATTATTTGAATAAACACTTAATACTGACTTAAAAAAATAGTATAAAATTTGATTTTTGTTAAAGTAAGCATTTTTCAAAACCACATATTTTGAAATATAATTTTCTTCTTCCTCTAAATTCCCTAAAATACCAAAAGGTATGTGCTTATAACTCTCAAAAACTTAAACTATATTAGAAAAGATATGGCATAAGTATATTCCATATATAAATATAAGTACAAATATATAAAAAGATACATAACAATGGTTTATTAATTTTAACACTAAAAATAATTATATTATGACATAAATACAGGAAAGTAATAAAACTGTCTTTGCTCAAAGAGCACAAAATTGTGCATTAGAAAAATCTAGAGAAAATTAAACGATTTTTTTTACAGAATGTATAAGCAATTTTTCCTCTAAAGGTATGGCAATCAATAATGAGGTATTGGTATAAAGAGAGGCAGCTAAATCAATGAAAGTGGAAAGTCTAAAATAGATCCAACTATATATGGCCAATTTCTTTTCAACAAAGGCACCATGAACATCCAATGGATTAAAAAAAAGTCTCTACAATAAATAGTGCTATAATGAGTCGTTATGTGCATAGAAAGAAGGCATCTTGATACCTACCACATACCATATGTAAACGTTAATTCAAGTATATCACTGACCTAAAGGTAAAAGTTAAAACACGGAGAGTTCCAAAAGAAATCCTAGCAGAATGTCTTTCAGAGTTTGTGATACTCAAAGATTTCTTAGAGTGAATACTTTTAAAAACTAACCATAAAGTAAAAATATAAAATTTTTCAAAATTCAGTATCTCTGCTCATCAAAAGTCATCAGGAATACAATAAAAGGACATGTTACAAGTTGAGGGAATACTTTAAAATACATATATCTAGTAAAGGATTTGTCTCCAGAGTCTATAAATAATTTTAACAAATCAATTAGTCAAATAAGCCAATAAAAAAATAGACAAGAATTTGAACAGACAGTTCATTAAAGCAAATATATCAACGTTCAATAAATACATGAAAAGCTGTCCAACGTCATTAGCTCTTAGTTAATAATACTTCAAAGATATTTCTCTTCACTCACATTAAAATGGTTAAAATTAATGTTAATGTCTCACTGTAATCCTTATTTCCAGCCATCCCATATACCACTCCCTACAGGAAAACAGTTAACTACACATATGTCCCTCTAGGGGTATTTTATGCATATCTGATCAGATAAAATATATAGCTGTTTTCCCCTTTATAATATACATGTTATCATATATCTCATTATGTACTTTGACTATTTGGAGGTCTATCCATATCAGTACATAAAGAGATTATTCATTGTATTTGTAATATTGCCATAATGGTCTGTCTAATGGATTCAGTTTAGCACTATAAAAATTATTAAATTATATGGTTCAAATATTCAATATCAAAGAATTAATATTTCTCTATTTGAATATCATATGATATATACATAAACAATATGATAGTAAATTTAAGATAAATCAATGGTAATAGGTAATGATACTATGCTATGTAAACTCAGATAACACCCCAAAAAACAGCTAATATCTCAAAACAACTTATAGCATTCCAGTTGCTAGATTAAGAACATTTATTAAATAAAACAGTTTTCTTAATGGCTCTAGTAAATTCACAAGACAAGAATAAAACTGAATATGTGCTGCAGACACTTTAGATCAATGATTAAGTGACAGTACAGTTTTAAGCCAAATGTTTTGTAACTTTTGAAAAAGAGGATGAGAATAGACCTGTTGTTTCTTCATTAACATAACTTAAAAGTAAACAGAAATTTCGATAAACTATTCAGCTTTTTTATGATTTTTTTCTGTCATATACAATCTTTCAAAAACATAGTTTTACATTATTTTCCTTCCTGTCATCCTAACCTGATTGATAAGGGAACTGAATCTTTCACTTTTAGAAAATCATGATCTCCTTAAGACCAGGTTCCTGTTATAGTGATAACTGATCTTTATAAGAATCAAATTTCTATTCAGGATTGTACAGGGCTCTCTGGCCAACATTGTCATATTTACAGCTCACAAACTGTTTCTGTAAATGGAGATCCAAGTATGCTGCCTGACATTAAACAGTGCACAATCTGCTTAAATGGGTTAACACATTTACAGTATAGGTACACATAACGTGAGTATTTATCTGAACTAAAAGCCATTGTTTTCATTTTTGTTTTTTTTATTTCTTAATCTGTATATTAACTTTTAATTGAGAAAATAGGACAAGCACATGATAAAAATAATTTTCAATAAGTGGTTAAATCTTCTCCCCACTCCAGTTCTTCGTTCCATTTGCTCCTCTCTCCAGAAGCAGCCACTGTTATCAGTCTCTCGGCTCTCTGACCTAATAATAGGTAACAATAATTCTATTGTTTGTAAACCAATGGGAGTATGCTGTATGTAATAAACGAACTTAATTGCACTGTTGTGAAACATCTCAGAAATGTATTCACAGCTAGTAATATAATTTAAAATTCTAACATCCGAACTATATTACTTTAGAAAATGTATTGCTCTCTCCCATGCAGCTCACCTATAAGAACTACGCGTAGGAAAGTACTTTCAAAAGTATGAAGCACAACACAAGTGAGAGGTTCTAAGCATTGCTTTTGAACTGGAAATGTAGCCACCTGGAGGTTCTGAGCTTAAAATGGGCAAGTCTCACCACTTGCTCTTTACTTCCTGAGGTGGAACTGAAGCCCTGGCTCATGGAACTCTCAGAGGGACACAGGAAAAGGCAGAAGTTACTGAGGCACCATTGTTCTGTATCCAGACTAATACCTGACCTGACACGTGGTATGACCTGGAGCAGAGCTGCTATAAAATGTAATTCTCCTTTAACCCCTCCATGTAAATCATCAGGAAGCTTCCCTCCACTGATTTAAACAAATTTGGTCTTTGACCTCTGAAGTCAGAATTGGCCTCAACAACTCTTTCAGATGGTTGTAGTATTGAGTGTTTGATGCATGTCGACCATCGTAAAACACAATACTCTTTCATGACAGATCTTCACATAATGCCACATATGTCCGAAGTCAGGGTAACAGTCTCTTAATTCCAAGTAAATCAGTAGTATAAAATACTGCAGATCAATGAAATAATGCACTTTGTTGTATCAAGATTTCACATCTAATGCAGCTGTGATTTGTGGTGGTGTTCAGCCAGTTGCAACATCTGTCAACGTGCTTCCTCTAGTAACTTCAAAAAGCTTCCAACAAATGCCGAATGCTTAAAAGGGTACTCATGAACATAAGTAAGAATTTTGCTGCATCTGGGATTTCTTATATTTAGCAACAAAATCAGTATAATAGTTCATAAACCAATCGGTTGCTTAATGATCTATCTGGAAACATTCAGGTCTGACAATTTGAGATGCCACAGAAGACCCCAAAATTATATTTGTTCAGTTTTCTGGGGGGGGGGGAAAAACCCCAACAACATATTGAACAACTTCAAAATATATAAACTCTATAATTAAAGTATGTTTTCTAATAAAAATTATTTTCATAATTTCTATAAAGATTGAATTTTTTCAAGACTTTTTTAAGGAGTTCATATACATACACATACATATTAATGTATATTTCCATCTCTAAGTTGAAATGAATTTCAACATCTCTTGGTAAGTAATGTTCAATAAACTATAACACAGGAAGATATTGTATTGAATATAGTATTAATATGTTTTGATACTTAATAGTTCAAAAATTGTTTTATTTAATTGAGACCAACTGGCCTCATTGTTTCTTATAAACTTTGCAATATATATTCAGTAAAAAGGAATAAAAATGAACAGATGTTTCTCCTTAAAAAAGGCAGACAAAGATTTTTCTTACACAATAAATCAGCTCCTAGTGGATTTCCACGACATTGCTTCAGGCTATTTAGGTAGAAAACTTAGGGAAAAAAGAACAGATTTACCTCTGTATGGATCCAAAATTGGTAGAGAAGATTGAACTGAAGATGAACAGCATATACTGAAGGTGGTATAAAGAGGGCCAGGGGAGTGTAGAAAATCTGAAAGATAAATATTTTAAAATAAATTAATTTGCATATAGGATCTCTCAAGATATTAATAAATGCTTTATTAATGGTTCAACATTCTAAGTGTATTTTTTTTTACAAATATACCTTATTCTGTGTATTTTATTGCCAAGTTTGAATTTGCAACATTAATTTTTCACATGGTGATAAAGTTGCAGACAAGTTGGAGCTAAGTTCACTGGACATCTATTTTGCATTTAATATTTTCTACTTAAAATATCATATGTTGTGTGTTATTTCCTTAATCTTGAAAATGTTGGACTTGTTTCCTGGAATTAAAGAGGCTTTTTATATACACACAAATATAATACTCACTTTCTTTTTATACAAAAAAAATGTAGGATCATGTGCCTCTATTTCTTGACAGCTCTCAAACTGTGTATTATTACCTGGCATTTTCAGTAATAAAATAAAATTATAATAAAAGAAAGTAACTTTGTATAGAGGATACCATATATTTTCACTTTTAAGTTTGTTTTTATATGGTTGATTGAGGGCATCATGTCTCTTAATTTTTCCAACATTATTAAGGAAGGAGGTATGATGTGGTGCCGTAGTGGAAAAAATTTAAAGGTCCGTATTTCCTAATAGACAGAAATGACTCTGCCTTGGAAAAACAACCAAAACAACCAAAACCACCATGGTTACAACTGAACCATGGAACTGGTTAGAATCAACTAATGAGCACAATCTGCTGTGTCCTACTAATGACTTTGATCTTCAATAGTGGTTTCATATTAGAAGAAACATTTTATTCAATGAAAAACTAAATAAGAATAAAATGAGCCTGACTTCCACTTTATATTTTTAATTTTACAGAGTCCATATTTTTAAGACTAGATGTTTAAAAACATTTCTTCAGAATGTTATAATTTTATTTATAAGTTATTTTAAAGCTTTGGTTCTCAATTAGGCATAATGTCATTTCAAGGATGTTTAGTAATGACTATGCATTTAAAATTGGGCATTGCTCTCTAGTTTTTATTTCTAAACTTCAAGTCATGAAAAATCTCAACTGTCATCACAAATAGAATCAGTTTTATTATTCACAAATGGATTATTCAGAAAAGGATTAGATTAGCTAGCAACAAAAGAACACTGGGCTCTTATTCAAGACATCAACTTTTAATCCATGGTTTTACTATACACTCCCTCAGTGATATTCACAACGTTCTTATACTTATCTAGGCTTTGGTTTCCTCGAATTAATGGTGAAGGGGAAGACCACTTAAAGTCTAGCCATCATTTTTGTTACAAAAGATCTATGTTACTATGATTTGATTTTTTGTGTGTGATATAGTAAAACAATTATCTTACAATAGGTTCATAGCAAATATTTGTAAAACATATATGATCTAGGATATAAGTCCTTTAAGTTAAAGGGTATTTTGGAATCTCCTTTTTGAGATGTGAGAAAAATGTAAAACATTTCCTTTGGATGCTAACAGATAGTTCTGTTTGGAAAGACTGTGTGTAGCAAATGAATATTTATAGTTCACTATAATTTCCCAAAGTGTGGAGACCCAGTCTCTTGAGATAATAACAGCTATTATGGAAACGGTGTTTCTATTGTCAAATAAGTCATGAAGTAGTGAGTTATCAAGTAAAGTTTCTTCCACACAGGACTTTTCAGATTCTTTACTACACTAACATGATTCACATTTCTTAATAAGTGTTGCACAAGATTAGATTTCTTAAAAAGGTATTTTATGAAACAATGTCCTAAATCTTACAAATCAGTAAATATGAAGATGACCAGACAAATGGAAAAATGAGCTCACCATGAATTTTTAAAAATCACATTTATAATAAAAAATAAAATGTAGGTTAAAGAAACCTCACATGTACTATGAGTGAAAACTTCTTATAATTAATATAGTGCTATAAAAAGAATCTAATGCTACAATCAAGGCTCTAATTTTTGCAACTGAAAGAAGCTTAGTAAATGTGGTCAAAGTTTGAGAATACCCACTTACCCTCTTCTCTATCTTCAATCTTTGCATTCCCAAATTCTCTATAGCATTTGAAACCATTTTAAGTGCCACTGCCATCATAAATCTTCAAGTGGTACTAACTTGGCTGAAAAAATTTCTTCTTCCTCACATTCAGAGTAACTCTTAGTACCTGGGTCAGGGACCCTACACTGTTTACTAAATACATTCATTTCTATCATGCATCCAAACCCATGCCATTTTACTCCAAGGCTCTTTAGCCTTACATTATGCTGTCTACCCTAGGTAATTTTATTATCTTATGATAGAAGTCATATATCAAAGTGCTGTAAAGGAGAGAAATAATCCATATGTTTGAAGAAAGAATGAGGATAAGCCTAGAGATGATCTTAGGCTAACACAAGGAAAGTGAGTGGATTTTATTCTGTCGCTAAGAAAATGGGACAAGCAGGGGGTGTTTGAGGTGGTTGTTTGAGGTGTATCAGGAAGCAAAAAACAATATGGCCTTTAGTGGTAACTATGATGGAATTGCTGAAAATGATGGAGAATAATGTGGCAAGAAATTGGATGGAAGCTTGGGATTTTTGGATAGAACTCAGGGAGTCCGTGAGCCCTCGACACAACAACAAAAATGTGTGACCTTATGCACATGAGGGAGTGTGCATTTTCCTAAAGAAATAATCTATAGCTTTCATCAGGGAATCTCCAGTGTGTCTTGCCACAACCAAAAAAAAAAAAAAGCCAAAAAAACCCAAACAAACAAACAACTTAGTGGCCAAACCAGTGAATGGAGTCTTTTCATGCCATTTCAAGAAATGAAGGAGCAATCAACATCTTTTTAATCATGTAAGAAATATAAAATATAAAAATCTGTTTGTAATCTATTTTAATAGCCCAGTGAGAAGTGATGCATGTTTAATCACAGCAGTAGTCATGGAGATGGGAAGGTAGAATAAATACAACAGAATTAAGAATTAGGCCGGGCGCGGTGGCTCACGCCTGTAATCCTAGCTCTCTGGGAGGCCGAGACGGGCGGATTGCTCGAGGTCGGGAGTTCAAAACCAGCCTGAGCAAGAGCGAGACCCCGTCTCTACTATAAATAGAAAAGAAACTAATTGGCCAACTAATATATATAGAAGAAATTAGCCGGGCATGGTGGCGCATGCCTGTAGTCCCAGCTACTTGGGAGGCTGAGACAGAAGGATCGCTTGAGCCCAGGAGTCTGAGGTTGCTGTGAGCTAGGCTGACGCCAGGGCACTCACTCTAGCCTACGCAACAAAGTGAGACTCTGTCTCAAAAAAAAAAAAAAAAGAATTAACTATTCAAACATAAGAGTTGAGAGGTATAGAGCAAATCAGAAGATACCCAGTCTTCTGGCTTGTGTGCTGGAGGATATTGTTTACCAGGACAGTGAACAGGAGAAAGAATAGTTTGTAAATTTTGGGAACTCCATGTTGGAGTCCATTATATCCCAAATAAGTTATTGAGTAAGCAGTTGGAAATGTTTATCTGGAATTAAATATCAAGGAATCAGGAAGTGTCTCTCTAGGCTGAACTTGCTGGTATGGGAGTCATACAAATATAAATTATGTTTGAATTGATGCATCCCCAGTGGGAAGACAGCCAAAAATGCAACTCACTGGGCAGTCAGAGAAAGGAGAGGTAGCAAATTAGGCTGAAATAAAAAAGACATGGAGATGGGAAAGATCCAGTACTTAGCATCATTAGAGACAATGAGAGATTTTTAAGGAAAGAATAGAAGATTTCCAATGAGAGTACAAGTAAGATAGGAACTGCCAAAAAAAAAAAAAAAAAGTGACACTAAATTTGCAACTAACTATATATCAGTGGTGCAGTAGACCTGGAATCCAAACCTCAAATTTGCTAACTCAAGTTAGTACATTTAAGAATCACCCAGAGGAGGTGACAAAATGGAGGGAGGGATTACTTCTGTGGACAAGAGATTACAGTGATTCATCAGCAGGAGGAGACTGCTGGAGGTATTGCTTGAATAGAATGATGAATAAGGGAGAAGATCTTGTTTGTTTATTTACATTTTTAAATGTGAGAGATAGGAATATACTTACTGGCTTATTCAGAAGTAGTCAGTTGAGAAAAATAGAGACAAATGCCAAAAATAGCTGATTAGAAAAAGAGAAAATAAGAGTAATGCCACCAATTTAAGAATTAGACCTGATGAAGAGAGGTGAACATTTTCTATAAAACCAGAGGGAAGAAAGAACGTTCACTTGTTAATTCACAACTCTTAATTGATGATACATGAACAGGAAGCTGAGAAAGAGAGAGAGAGAATGGAAAAACACATTTCTCAATAAAGTTTCCAGTACCTTCAAGAGGCAGCAGTAGAAAAAAGGTCTTGAGGAAGCTGCAAAATTCTAGAAAGGTTTCTGCAAGGTAGAGGGTAGGAAACAGAGCAATCTCACATGTGCAGCTTGGAGAGCAGTGTTCAGAGGCAGCTGGGTCTGGAAGCCACTTGCGGAGGGGCTGGTGGGAAAGGACGCCCATAGCACTCAGCAGCTTGGACATGGGAGCAATGAATGTGGATCACTGGATTTTTTCACTGCAGATGTAACAGAGGACGCACACTGTGCTTGTCAGGGTCATGGAAATTAAGTATCTTAGGTTGGATGTGGTAGCAAGTAAAGCCAGGAGGAGACAACAAACTAGAAGAAAAATCAGGGGTTGAAAGAGCAAAATAGCCCACAAGTAAGCTGTTAGGGGAAATGATTGAAGATTAAGTATTAATATATAACTACTTTGAGAGAAATGAAAAAACATTTTTGTCCTCCAGGATTCATGTCTATTTTATTTTAATAGTTCAAAGCAGTGGTTAATTAACATTACTAACATCTGCACTTCTAGGATTATCATTTATTTTTATAATATTACTTTAGGGAAAAAGCAATTATTTTAACAAGTTTCCTTCAGAATGGAGAAACTAAAGATGGAAGAATCAAGTAGTACGTCCCACATTCCTTAAGCCTGTGATTGGCGATGACA